CCTTTCCCTCTGGTTAGCACCATAGTGTTGTCTGTGTCTATGAGTTTTTTTGGTTTTTTTTGCTTAGTCCCTTCACCGTTTTCACCCAGCCGTGCAGCACCCCCACCCTCTGACAGCTGTCAGTCTGTTCTCTGTATCTATGAGTCTGTTTCTATTTTGTTTGTTAGTTTATTCTGCTCTTTAGATCCCACTTTGATTGATTTTAAATGCTCGTAGGTGCACCGCAGCGGGGGCACTTGTCCTCTCCGCCGTGGAACACACTCTCTAGGCATTTGCTCCATTTTGAAGGATGCCCACAAAATTAATCAAACGTTATCTTATTTGAATGAAGTTTTTAAAACTACAAAGGCTTGAAATGGGAATGTTGGAAGGTTTTCTTTTTCACCGAACAGCTGGTTTTTATATGCCTCTTCTCTAATGTTGTAAACAGCTATATTCAAAACAGTCACAGCCACATATGCTGATGAAAAGGTTTTGCTTGGTGGAGCAGCTTCAGGCAAACACGCAGTGGCATTTTAAGTGGCATTTTCCTGAGAAAGTTTGTCAATATCTCATTTTATAGACTCAAAGTGTGCTTTTCTTTTCCTTTCTTTTAAAATATATCTTTACTGATTTCAGAGAGAGGAAAGGAGAGAGAGAGAGAAACATCAGTGATGAGAGTCATTGATCAGCTGCCTTCTGCATGCCTCCTACTGGGGATCGAGCCTGCAACCCAGACATATGCCCTGACAGGAATGGAACCACCATCTCCTGGCTTAGAGGTCAATGCTCAACCGTTGAGCCATGTCGACCAGGCTTGAGATAGATTTTTCAATCAAACACACCAAGCGAGTGGTATTCCTCCCAGGGAAGTCATCTAAAGAGACTTGCCTGTGCATGGTGTCAGATGGGTATTAGCCTTATCAGGGAGATCCCTTTGTAAGTTATATAAATGTCTAATCACTATGTTGTACACCCAAAACTAATATAATATTGTATGTCAATTGTAATTGAAAAATAAATTTAAAAAATGAAAATAAAATAAAAGGGACTGTTCGCTTCCCCCACTGCCTTGGCCAATGCTGGTGTGCCTCTGATACGTCCAGCACTCAAGAACCAGGGTGGTAGAGATAGATGGCCTGTGGTCACCACACCCAGTTCTCTCCTTCCTAGGGACACAGAAGACAACACTGGCCAGCCCCCTCGCCCTCAGGTAGGGCCCAAGGAATGTTCTGGCCATCAGAAATGACGGGTGAAGTGGGCCGCTTCCCGGGGGAGACAGCACAAAGCTCCCCGGGTTCTCTTCTCTTTACAGCAACTGAAGCCACCGGTGCCTAAGGAGCCACAGATGGAAGCAGCCAGGACCCCTGAGACACTGCGCAGAAGGGAGAGGCCTTGGAGAGCCGCTGGAGCCATGGTGGACTTGGTGTGAAGAACTAATCCTTTAGGTCTAAGCCGTGGAGACTTCGGGATTTACTTGCTGTAACATGGTCTGTTCTGAGTAAGGAAACACAGCAATGTTGGAATCTGCATAAGGAAATCAGTTTCACATTTTCCATCACAGAAATGTAGAGGTCCATCTAATGTCAAAATACTTGTTTGGTTATCTGTC